CTTTTAAGATTCCAAAAGATCTAAAAAAAAAAAAAAAAAAAGATTCTAAAAGATCTAAAACCAGCTGGAACACAGTATGGCATGCAGTCCCCATTTTCTAGAGGCTTGTTACAGGGACTGGCGCAAGAGCAGCATCTTATTCCATATGTTTGGGATATGGTGGCCAGAACTGTTTTCAAATCTGGTCAATGTTTACAATTTAAAACTCGGTGGAAGGAGGAGACACACTTGATAAGTCACCAAGAACCAGCAGAGGAAGGTTCCATGACTTCAGAACAACTCACTGGCTCTGGTCAGTAGATGGGCATTCTGAAACAACTTCAATATGATGATATAGCTATAATGCAAACAAAGCTGTGCTGTCTTAGAGCCTGGGAAAAGGTTCAGGCACCTGGAGATGTCTCTAAACCTTTCATTATAGTAACCTAGAGGCCACTGCCCCAAAATACCCTCTCAGGTTATTTTCGAAGAGTGATAATCCAGTGTGGGTGGAGCAGTGGCTGTTAACAAAAGAAAAACTGGATGCTTTACATTTTTAATTCAGGAACAGTTAGAACAAGAACATATTGAGCCCTCCACTAGGCTCTGGAACACTCCCATCTTTACTATAAAAAAGAAATCAGGCAAATGCAGAATGCTCACTGATCTCCACAAAGTCAATGAAACTATTATCCCCATGGGTCCTTTGCAAACTGGCCTTCCTTTGCCCTCTATGATTCTTTCTCATTGGTATTTGTATATAATTGATTTAAAAGATTGTTTTTTCACTACATATTTACATCCTGAGGATCAACCCCGTTTTGCTCTTTCTGTCCCTTCCTATGATCAACAGAGACCCTACCAATGCTTTCAGTGGAAGGTTCTGCCACAAGGTATGTTGAATAGCCCCACATTGTGTCAGAATTTTGTTGATCAACCATTGCAGCCTATTAGAAAGTCATATCCTACAGCCTATATCATTCATTACATGGATGATATTTTACTTGCACACCAAAATTTGGCTATTATACAGGACATGTTTAAACAAGCCATATTTGTTTTAAAATCTTATGGCCTTCAAATTGTGCTGGAAAAAATTCAAGTCCCACCCCCCATACTTATTTAGGATACAAATTAAACCAAAATTCTCCTACAGTGTGTTAATTTTCGGTTAGATTCCTTATCTATTTTGAACAACTTTCAAAAATTGTTGGGTCATATTAGTTGGTTACATCCTTTAGGAATACTAACTTATGCTTTAACTACTGTCCTTAAATATTCTCGATAGAGCCCTGTTCACCCTTAACTTTTTGAGTTTCAATAATGATGGAAACACAGCTGCTGAACATGACTGGACATCTCTCACCCATCTGCCACCTTCCCAAGTGCAGCAACCCATTTTCTATAAGAAACCTTATTATGTATGAATGGAAACCTGGTTATGTGCTACACTGGGGTTGAGAGTTTGCTTATATTGTTACAAGAACAATGAGAAAAGCAGTGGCTGCCTGCTCACTGGATTAAACCTCGATATGAGCAGGAGACCTCTCCAACACCTTGATGTATTTGTCTTCAATAACTCCTATTTTTTAAGCCTGGAATTTCATGAAAACTTTCTACTCCACACTTTCCACCATGATTGTCATTTACTGTGAACCCTAGATCAGTTTCCTTTGAGAAACCTCTAACTGCCGCCCGTATCATCATCCATCCTCAGCAGGAAGTAGCTAGGAGCGGTCAGTGTCCTTTTTCCTATTAGCAGTTAGAGCTTCTGAAAAGGAGGATTGATACTGGGTTCCATCACTTAAGAACCTCTCAATCTCTAGGCCTGAGTAAACTCAGTCCACACCCTCTAAGCTCTAATAAGGTTTTGAACAAAGCAGTCAGCTTTGGTAATGGAAATTTGAAGTCATAGCAAACTTCTTGTATCAGCAAAGGTGAGAATATTTATTGCATATATCCTTAATCCTTTTAATCCTTCCCTTACTGCTCCTTTAGATTGACACTTCCCCATCTGACATTCTAGTCTACACCATGCCTATTGCTGTTCATTTAATGGGTACAATGGATAATGTGCAGAAGTAGGAAACTTTGGGCATTGATTAATACTTACTATGGAAGCCTCAAGAACCCTATGGGTCAGCCCCAAAACAGTTAGGTGATGAAATGTGTAAAATTAATATTACCTTTATTTGTTGGGAAGAATACAATTTAATACAAATCCCTTTTCTTTGGCGAAGGCCCTCACTGACTCCTCTGATATAATTTTGTTAATTGTTCTGTGCTTTTTCTCTTTTTTTTTCCTCCTTTCTTTTCTCCATCTAGCTAGAAGGAGTGCTATTTGATAAGAAGAGCAAATGAAATAAACAACTACAGGTTTTTCTTTCACCCTGCACAAGAATGTCTTAGTCAAAAAGGAGGGATATGTAGCAACCTATATAATAGGATGTGTAGCTGCCTATGTGATATGTGGCAACCTATGTAATAGGATTTGTAGCAGCTTATGTAACAACATATGTGCTGTGTTTCCCCAAAAGACCTACCCCCAAAATAAGCCCTAGCAGGATTTCTATGCATTTGTTAAATATAAGCCCTACCCCAATAATAAGACCTAGTGATGGGTGTGGCTATGCAGATAGCTGCAGAGCAATAAGGAAGACTGGAATACTTCTTATCTGCCGCAGCTCCTTTCTCTGAGCCGTTTGCACTTGAACGGGTGCGTGTGTGGTAACCAAGGTCACAGGCATCCTACTGGGCATGTGCAAACAGCTAGGGGAAGAAGTTCACACATCACTAGCGCCATCCCCACCAACAAGGTTGACTCCCCCTGTCAGGTTCCCGAAGATGATGACTTAACTGTGTTTGAATAAATGTAGATTGTTGTATTATACTTGATAAAAATAAGACATCCCCTGAAAATAAGCCCTAGTGTGTCTCGAGAAAAAATAAATATAAGACAGTGTCTTATTTTCAGGGAAACCTGGTAGTGATCCATGTAACAACCTATCTAGCAACCTATGCAGCAAGATGTGTAGGAACTGTAGAGACAAAGTGGCAGTTACTGGACTTTAATGATCAGACTTTGGCAGTTGGAAATTGATCAGCTGTGGAACTCCAGTGAAGAGGGTTGGACTTGAGGGAGGGGCATATGTTCTTAATATGCTTGGTGCCTTTTCCACAACACATATGGGAAGGCCCACCTCCTGCAAGCTTTGAGCTTACAATCCATTGTCTGGTCTGCTTCCTTGGTGATGGCACCAACAATAATGTTTAGATATCCTGCCCATAGGATAAGGGCTGTGTGTGTGCGTGCGCATATTTAATCTTTACCTAAATAAAAATTTAATTTGATAATAGGATGAAATCTGAGAAAGGGCAATTATATTTTCTTTGAACATTAAGATTGAAATTTTCAAATGTTTTGGATCATGTGCTCTAGAATCTATGTACTTTATAATTATATACTATAAAGTAATAATGTATGCAGTATATTATCATATACCAGGTGCTTTTCAAACACACATACATGGAACAAATATCTACTAAAACATCTGACAGACCTATCTTATTTTTGATTTCTTTTTTTTAACAGGGAATTGGAGAATTATTTGAGAAAGCAAAACAAAACAATGACAATAGAAAAATTTCCAATGGTGATAACAGCCTCTTCTTCAGTAATTTAGCACTTCTTGGTGCTCCTGTCCTAAAAGACATCAATTTCAAGATAGAAAGGGGACAGTTGTTGGCGGTGGCTGGATCTACTGGAGCAGGCAAGGTAGTCTCTTTTATTGTACATTGCTATAACTTAATTTAGCATGCATTCCTCTTTTTCTTCTCAGTTTGTCTGTAGTCTAAGTAGGTGTTTTGGAGAAATTCTTACACATGTATTATGAGAATGCTTGGGTATAGTGTCCCATATAACATAAATTGTTCCCATAATAATTTTCTCTAGTTTTTTAAAATTTCCTTATATTTCTAGTGACTTTTCCCTTCTACAGCTATATTTTGCATAGCATTCAACACAGTGTCTTGCACATGGTGGATATTCAATAATTTTGTTCAGTGAACGAGCCATCCACTTTAACCAGTCATTTTATCAGAGCTGGTCCAGGAAAATCATGGCTTGCATTTTACCTTGGTGGCCACATGAACAAAAGATCTGTCTTTTATTGGCATTAGAATTTTAGAGAATGGACTTAGACTTGCTTATGATGTATTATGAAGTGCGATCATTGAGTAGGCTAGTTTTTCAAGAAATATATAGGAATGTTAACTTATTCAGTGATCACACCTTGCCCCAAGAACAACTTATAATAAACCTGAAATATTTGGAGATATGTATGACAAGAACAAGTAGGTTAGAAAGAAAAACAGATGGTAAGGAGTGTATTTTGAAGAATTTAGTCTGAGACTTGGGAAACAAAATGCCACAGAAATTTTCTATTCAATAAATTTGGGGTCCACAATGCTAGTGATGCAATTTCCTTATTTCTCTCTTCAATTGTTTTCTTGCGTGCGGAACAGGTCTTCTATGTAAGGTAGCTATAGTTGTGCATTTATTCTTTATGAAAACAATTTCCTTTTCAGAGTATTATTATTTCTCTACTATTTTGTGTATGCTGCTACTAGCAATTTTCACTATTAAACGAAAATTATACCATAGGAGGAAATGATACCAAAGATAATCTAGATCATTAGTTCCACAGATGATCTAAACAAAAATGTGTGCTTGTGAGAGGGTGGTGGTTACGTTTCATAGAATTTTAAAAATTTTGTTTATGTATTTAAGATCAGTTCTGTGAAAGATGTACAAAAATAGCTTGGGAATTACAAACTATAAGACTTACCAGCAGTTACTTTGCCGGTTTTATTAAAAATTGATGAACAATTAATCACTGGCTGGAGTTGCAATCGCACCTTATAGGAAGCAGCTATGAAGATAGTCAGATGAAGGCAGTGATCCCTTAGGAATTCTTAAACACTTCTTTTGAGTAGAGTTTGTCACCTCAGTGGAGAAAGCTCCCTTTCTGTGGCATGTGTGTTAGGAAAGGAGTGTTTTTTAATGTTGTTGGCCCAAAGAGCTACTAAAACATAAGGTTGCATAATGAAAAATACCAGCATTTTAAGTGGAATTTCATCCCACTCAACTGAATAATTTGTATCAAAAGCCTTAAAGATAACTTAATAATTGTTCTACTTGTATGACATACTCTAATATGCTTACATAGATTTTATATAAAGATCTTCATTACAACTTTGTTTTAATAGCCAAAAGTTGGGAGAGAAAAATCTCATAAATGGGAGATTGAGAGATAAATTTTAGTTTAGTTATAAAAAGGATATTAGGAATGATTTTGAATGATGTGTATGATATACTTTTACATGAAGAAAGACAGATTACAAAATGGTATATATGTCGTATTTTATAAAAGCATATATATGTTTATGTATTATGTGTGTAAACAGACAAATGTTTTGTCTTGCATCTCTGGATTGTCCATCATTCCAATAACTAATATGTATTTTTACTGATAAAACAATGTAGTCATGTTTAACACATTAATGCCATGTGAGTTGTATTTAATTCATGCTAGTTTTGCCACCCAGGGTCTCATGAAACATATTTCACACATCTCTTGGCCTTGGGAGAAGCATGGTGTGCAGGCAACTCCCATACCTCCTGTTGCGCTGCTCAGCTGGCTCGCCCAAGTGTGCCATGAGTGCTGGACTGTGTTCTCTGGTTACCGTAACTTCTGCTTGCTCTTTTTGCCTTGAATGTTTGCCTGGAAGCTCTTTGAATAAAATTGATACCAAGTATTCAGTGACATGACATTGTCGCACACACAGAGTATGATTTAGGAGTTGTCATCCAGGAACACTCAAGGTCTACTCCGGATACAACTACATAGTTGTAGAATGTTAAAGAACTCAACTCGGAAATGAGCTCAGTGAGTGTGTTGTGAGTCACAGCTCATATGGACTGCAGTGTAAAAATTGATTTTAGTGCCACATGATTGCACTTACATAGAAAACAATTTTAAAAGCCCCAAATTTTTCATTAGAAATGATCATTTTGTCTTCAAAGTTTTTTTCTAATAAAACATGTAGCCCAATGAAAAAATTTTTTTCTAGTATGGCAGTCAAATTTGTTAGTGTTATCACTCTTTCCTGTTATAATTGTCTAGACTATAAAAGCAACATATCTTTTAAAATTTTATATCTCAAAGACTGATAGTACAATAGGTACCTTATGAAAATTTAGCTGGACATTTGCAAGAAAAAAAATTTTTTTTTGGTTCAAATCTACATTGAATGTCTTGCACTTGTGAAACCTTCTGGATTATTTGAATAAAGCAAAACTGCTGTAAGAGTCAATACCACTGGGTGCCCTTGACTGAAGGCAGACTGGGGGCATTTCCGCAGGGTGGGGGGATTTTGAGTCCTTCTGTTGTCTCCATCACAACTGAAGCAGCTCATGGGCTCCTTGACAATCCCTGACTCCACCTTTCCTCTCATCTACCTATGTCTCACTCTGGTATGAGTTTTAGCTTGGTCTTATACTAACTGGACATCAGATGTATAGAATAAGCTGTTAGCACATGTATTTTTTTAATTTTTATATGGAATACAAATGTGCACAGAGTTTATCAACATTTTAGAATTTGGGAAGATACGAAGTTAAATGAAAACATTATTGAAAATTTTTATAACTATCTCTAAGTGAATATATACTTTTTTTATCCTAAACAAATTAGATCCATTCCAGGTTTGGGTTTATAAAGCTGCACTATATTAGCTTTGATAGTGTATAAAAAGATTTTACATGAAAATAAGGTAAATCAGACCTTTATTTCCCTTATAATATTTATAAAATTTACTGGTCTCACAAAGATGTCTGTTGCTTGACTGTCTTATCTTCCCAGTATACATGTATTTCAGATGATTTTTTAAAAATGGTTCAGGATGATTTAAAATGAAAAAATTTAAAAATTAGGGCCATGCGCGGTGCTGTAATGCACAGTGCTGTAAACTTAGGAGGCTGAAGCAGGTGGATTGCCTGGGCTTACAGGTTCGAGACCAGTCTGGGCCAGAGCGAGACCCTGTCTCTAAAAATAGCCAGGCATTGTGGCGGGCAGCTGCAGTCTCAGCTTTTGAGGGGGCTGAGGCAAGAGAATGGCTTAAGCCCAGGAGTTTGTGTTTGCTGTGAGCTATGACACCATGGTACTCTACCAGGGATGACAAAGTGAGATAGTGTCTCAAAGAAAAAATTAAAAAATTGAAACTAAAAAATATAAAAAGTTGAAAATTCTCCCTCTCATTTCTGATTTCATCTGCCCACTTTCCATTCTCTATCACTTTTACCCCCTCCCAAACACAGGTAGCCAATCTTAAGTTAATAGAATCCTTGAAAATCTCATACCTCTGCTTAGGATGATAATTGGGAGCATGTGAATCCTGAGAGTGATTTGATCAAATGACATAACTATGGTTTTATTTCCAGACTTCACTTCTAATGATGATTATGGGAGAACTGGAGCCTTCAGAGGGTAAAATTAAGCACAGTGGAAGGATTTCATTCTGCTCTCAGTTTTCCTGGATCATGCCTGGCACCATTAAAGAAAACATCATCTTTGGTGTTTCCTATGATGAGTATAGATATAGGAGTGTTATCAAAGCATGCCAACTAGAAGAGGTAAGTAATTCCATGAAAATTTTCTGATTATGCTCTGAAACCTTCAAACTTCCAAAATTATATACTTACTCCTTATTCAGTCAGTCAGTCTGAAGATATTAAAGGCTCCTCTAGGGGTCAGATACTGTGGATAGAGCAGTTAATATAACACATGACCCCTGGTTTAAGAAGCTTGCAAATCCATAAAATATAGTAGATATAATTTTTTTAATAATGGGCTGATTTTTTTTCATAGTAAAAACTCTTTATGAAGTGATAAGAATTTTATTCACCCACTAGTGAGACATAGGTCCTCAAAGGATATTTATGTTACATGCATTTTTTAAAGATACCCTAAAACTACATAATAGGATTTTAATCATTTTATTAACATCACACCCTAATAGAATGAACATTGACCTGACAGTAGAGAATCAGAGAGATAAAACTGTGATGATATCTTATCTTTGGCTCTGAACATATAACCATATAACCCTTAGTGATAGCAGTTCTCTGATACAGAGACAAAATGAAGATGATTTTATTGACTCATTCCATAACAATATTGGGGAATGAGCTGCTTATCTTGAAATTTTGATGCATAATGTAAGGGTACATGTCAGATCTATTAGTATAGAGTATAAATGTTTTAACACAATAATTAAGTAAACAAGGTGAGGTATATATTAACCAGTGTGATATAAGCGTTCCTAATTCTATATGAAATCAGCACATTGTGCCCCATAAATGCATTAATGTATACATGATCTATGTGTTTATGATTTAATAAAAAAATAAAAAGCAGATCTCACTAAAAAAAAAGAAATTACTTGAAGTATACCAAATGAAGCAAGTATATGGATCTTGTGCTGTTCAATACGTAAACTGTATGATGGTGGGCTCAATAATTATTGATGTAAATGTTGGGGCAAGTAATGTGCTATTATGAGGTTTATTGGCAGTATTGTCTGAATAGCACTGTCAAAATCTATGTCTTTGACAGATGGCATTAGGCACTAACAGATTCCTTTATTTTGCTTTTTATGAAAAAATTACAGTGGAAATAAAATGAAGCTTAAAATATAGTAGACAAAAAGTGGAAAACGGCTAATTGTAGATTAGAGAAATGACAGTTCTTACAAAAAAGGGCTGCACACTAAATACAAAGGGCTGTCCATTTGTATGCCGATTCAGTCAAGAGTAGTTTTTAAATCCCCGTTCTCTTTTCTATATGCGGTGAGATCGTAATGAAGAGCTACCTGTTTTAGCTTTGTATTTATCTTAAAGAGGATATTCTTCATTCTTCAAAAGCCTTTCTTCCAGGAGTAGTAGTTTACAACCTGGAGGTTGGAACAATCTGAATATGTGACCACTCACCGCCCCCCCAAAAAAAAAACCCTGAGTGTTTTTAGAGAACACAGATTTTTGTCTAGGAGGGAACTGGGACATAGGAGCTAGTGCCTTGCAAGATGAATAGCGGACTTTATTTGCAAGTGGAAAGGTTTGAGAAAATTGCTTATAGACTTTATTTTTTTTTGAGACAGAGTCTCACTCTGTTGCCCTGGGCAGAGTGCCCTGGCATCATAGCTCACAGCAACCTCAAACTCTTGAGCTCAAGGAATCCTCTTGCCTCAGCCTCCCCAGTAGCTTGAACTACAGGTGCTGGCCACAATGCCTGGCTACTTTTTGTATTTTTAGTAGAGATGGTGGTCTCACTTTTCTTAGGCTGGTCATGAACTCCTGAGCTCAAGTGGACCAGATGCTTTGGCCTTTCAGAATGCTGGGATAGACTTATTTTTGTTTTAATATACCTTTTCCCATAGAAATAATTCTTATAAATGGTAGTTTGATTTCCCCAAGTTAAATCTATAAAAGCATATTTAACTAAAATATAGCTTAGGTATATTACCAGTAATCAATTTAAGGCTGTGCATTCCTCAATCACAGAGTATTTACTAACTTTTGAACACTGTGCTAGGTCCTGCGATTACCAAGTTGAATAAGATATAAGGCATCTCTGAAAGTTTGTAGTACAGTGCTGTGTTAATAATGAAAGGTTCTATGGTATGTGAATTATACCTTAATAGACCTATTAAAAGTAATGAAAGGAGAAGGAGAAAAATAAGACTATATTCTTTTTTTTCTGATTGCATGGTTAGTTTAATATATTTTTAAAGTGTATAATTCAGTGTTTTTTAGCTTCTTCACAGGATTGTATAGCAATCACATTTTTAGCCTCTTAAAAAAGAAACCCCAATTCCATTAGCACTCAATTCGCATTCTATTGTACCTAATTCTCCCCATTCCCCGCCATAGGCAATTACTAAATCTACTTTCTGTGTCTATAAAATTTGCCTGTCATGGACATCATACAATAGGTCTTTGAACCTAAATAGATGACTTTAAAGTAGAAAAAGTAAGTAACAAAAATTAAGACTTGTATTTCATTCAGTGTACTACTAGGAGCTGGAGATGAAAATACGAATAGGACATGATACATATATTTCAGGGTATCATGTAGTCATGGAGAGAGAAACGTGATAACAGATCTTACCAGTGCTCTAAAAGAAAATGAATGAGGAAATTCTATAGGAGTAAAAGGAGGAAGCATGGACTCCCTCTGGGTCTGCCTGTTGTAAGTGATGAGGCCCTGATACAAAGAGGTATAAAGCTTCTGAGGGAATGGTTCACTGTGGAATTCCAAGGGGACAAGAATGAAACTTAGGCCCTTGGAGGAATTCTTTTTATTAAGAACCTCAGAGCTGATTTTAAAAAGTAGGAGATTGATGATTAAATCGTCACCAGATTGTTGAGAAAATTAAGTGAGATGTACCTATAGGGGGCCTAAAACAGCATCTGGTACCAAGTAGCCGTTCAGTAAGTACTTGGGTTTCCGCTTCCCTTGGAAGTAGAGAATACCATTAGAGGGCATGACGTAGAAGTGCCTGAGTCTGTTCTTACTCATCGGTGACTAATGTGCAAGGAGGTTGATCTAACTAAGGAGGAGAATCCTGAAGGCAAAGAATTACAAAAAGTCATCAATATAAATTTTGATAGCAACACGTGATTATAGAAGAAAATTATAAAGATGGGCATCATAAAGATGGTGGTTGGTCTGCCTGAGACAACTAACAGAAGTTGGGGTCTCCTGTGGAAGAAAACAGCATGAGATGCTGAAGGTTGGGAGGGACCCCACTTTCTCTGTCGTTTTCAGATCTAAAAACATTAGTTATGTGATGCCTTCTGTCGGACATTTTTTCTGTGGTGAGGGCATGGTGGGTACAATGTGAAAACGTTATCATTTTTTCTGTCAGAGACCTGATAGGCCCGTTGGGGGACTACGTCAATATGACACGGTAAGTTTGGGCTAGAAGCCAGCCCAGCAGAAGGCTTCTGGCCTATCTAGGCAGTTGAGGGAGGCTATCTGTAGAAGCAGATACCTTGAAGGATAAATGAAATATAGAAAATGTAGGCTGGATAGAGGAAATGATATGAACAGAAACACGAGACATGAAACCACTTGGTTAGTTCGGGGAATCACCAGAATCTTGGTAGAAACAAGAATGTGTCACTCGGGGCAGGGAGTGAGGAGGAAGGAAGGTAGAGGCCTGTGTCATGGAGGCCTTGTGCACCAGGCTCAGGAATTTGGTCTTGGAGAACTTTAATCAGGGGGATGACATAATCAGCTTAAAGTCTACACATGTCACTTTGGCTCTGATAGTGAGAAGCAGAGTTAATTTGATTAGGAGCTTTTTGGAATAACAGAAAGAACATACATTTTTAAATCTGACAAGCTTGGTTACTAATGAGAGCTATTTAACACTGCTGTATACCAAGTTGTACCCCCTAAAATATGGGGATAATAATATTACTGATTTTGTAGAGTTTTATAGATTCGTCACATAGAAAGTACTTAATAAAAAGCTATTGTCTATAATACTATTTACTATTCTTTTTAGAAGGAGGTAAACGAATAGGAAGCTAACACAAACTGGGTCATGATAGACAAGAAGAGGTGAAACCAGAGAAACTGTGAGAAGATAGGGAATGCCATATTCACGAGCTGGGCATCAGAGAAAACAGCCCTTCAGGAAGAAGTGAGGTTTTTCCTCAAGAAATCAGAAGAGGAGGGAAATTGGTTTAATATTAAGGATTGCCTGCATGACAGAAATTGGAAAGGGAACCCGTAGAACTGCTGTGGGCTTAGGAAGGAAGGACGTGGAGATGAACTGCATGAAACTGAAATATCTGATCACAGACTGTGCTAACTAGGTACAACGGACGATGCCACTAGGTGGGATTTAACAAATAATTGTTGATGATAACAACACCATTTAGTTTTTTGAATATACAATTCACTTTTCTTTCTCTTTGCCTGAAGTGTCAAATAAACCATTCATCTTTTTATTTCAAAGAATCCCAGAATCCTTATTCCTCTCTGTCCTGCTGACCCTCACAACTGATCTAGGCCTTCCTCGCCATCCTATGATAGAAAAGCACCCTGGGGTTTCCTGACTTCCTTCTTCTTTACACTGGCCAATGTGGTGAGCACAAGGAGTAAATCTGTATGTGATTAGTATATATCTTCATTATGCTGAATGTCTCACATGTATTGCTCTTATCTCTTCAACTACATGGTAAATTCCTAGAGAGCAGCAACTCCAAAACTTTATTTTTGTGTGCTCTGTCTAGCACATTGATAGAGTAATAAATTCTAATTAGAGGACTGTTTCAGAAATGTTTTGAAGTAGACGTGTCTGTTGCAAGAATTTTGCTCGGCAAATATTCTGCTTCACAGCCTTAGAGTTTAAGCAGTTGATTATATGCTAGCACATGATTACTGGGAATAACAAATAAAGGTAACTGAAACTAAACTATCTTGACAGTCAAAATCGGAAGTTTCACCTATTTTCATTAACTTTAGGAGTTTTGTTTTTTTCTTTTTTTTTAGGTAGCTGCAGAAGTTGTGAAGAGTTTACATTTTTGTATCTTTGCTTCTGTTGTCAACTAGGTGTTCTCAC